TGCGACTTATTCCTTTGCCTACTTGTTTATTCAACCCAAATGAGAATTGATTTTGGCATAAATATTTTCAATTGGATTTACTTTACGAATCAGTAATTATAAAAAGCGCATTAAATGATTTCATAAGTTTTTAAAGAAACAAAGGGGCCTAATTTTGAAAAATCATACGAACCTAATTACACATGCAAATAAAATTTATAATTTCTTGATATACCTTTGAAAGAGAAAGGATGGTGGCCAATTGATAACTGTAGTATGAGGGGTGGCCGTGACTGAATTGATTTTAGTATTGTTTTGCGAAATGAAATTGTGTGCCCATAGTATTTTAATATTATTACATGAATGGAATGGTTTAAAGTCTTTACAGATATATAGACCAGGCTATTTACCCCTACATAAATGGAATGGTTTAAAAGTCTTACAGGTAAATATAGATATGGTTATTACCCCTAATATCACTTCATTTGTTGAAGTTGATATTATGATCGCTTTAATATGGATATCATCACTGAATGATATATGATTGATATAAAATTCTCCCTCCATGTTGGGGTTGTAGATTGCACCCTCTTCCGTTGAAATCATATCACAAATTGAGGTTGTAGATAGCAGGTCTAGATGTGCACATTAGACACCGATGGCCTTTGGAACTAACTCTATAAAAGTTGTAAACACTGCATTATGAATTTATGATTTAAATGATATTGTTTTTATTATTTCCTTTAATATAGTGGGTTTATGAATTATGATTCATTTTTTCCTGTAAAAGTTTTGATTTGTTAAATTGTGTTTATTTTACAATAGTACACCACTAAGCAATATGCTTAGCGATAGTTGCTTTTGTGCTATCGCAGGAAAATGAAACGGGAGAGGATCGTTTTTGTTTGATGTATATAGTATGCTACTGATGTAGCTATTGTATATTTGGTTTCTTTTGCCAATATGTATGATATATTAAACATTAACAAAACAACTATGTATATTTTAGCATATACATGTAAATTATGAGTTTGTAAAATTTGAAAGTTTTTATTCTATTGAAGTACTTAATTTCTACTATTTATCTAATGTTTAGAAAGGACTCCAGTGTGTAATTAAATCATCATGGGCTTATGGGTTATGGAATCATTTAATGCTTCTGATAATGTAATTGATGTTTAAGAAATTATATTGACTCAACTATTTTATTGAGCTTAATAGAAGTTATGTTTCATATATCTAAT